TTATCTCAATTTTATTTAATCAGTAATGATTTTCTCGACGTTGTCGCATCAGTCATTCAGTCTTCTTTCACCAAGCTTAACTAGAATAGCACTGATGATAGCTAAGCAAATTTTGTATTTATACGGTCGGAGAGTGTCGTTACCTACTGGAAAGCTTTGAATTTCTTGCCACTTCTGAATTATTCGTGACCGGAACACTTGGATGCTCATAAGGTTCGTCTCTGACAAGAGATCCGTTAATTTGAGTGCAAAATGATATCATGGCAGGCCATGGACTGAGCAGTGCAATTCGGAGAAGAAGTGGACTGCATGAGTATTTTTGCGGTGGCCGTTCCACGGTTCAACTGCACTGAACGATATGTTTTTGTTGAATACTTTCCACTCTCATTACTAATTGTCCGAGTTCTAGGTTACACTTTTGCTTGATCAGTACACTTCACTGGTTTGATTCGCATTAGCGCATCGCATTGCCCTCACGTGTTGCATTAGTCTAAGCGAGACGACAATGAGACGATACGGACCTTTCAGGAGACTGTCACGTGTTTTTTCTGTAGTTGAACGGAGTCATAGTATAGGTTCGACGACAACTTGCTAATAAGATTGTTTTCCTCCTTAGGTGTTTCCGCTCTTCCGATTACTTCGTAAATGAGTCATGAACACGGCGGAGTGAGGGGGAGGGGGAAGATAAGGAATGTTGGCCGCTTTATTCCCATTTCACACTCGAACAACTAGAATTTTTGGTAATTCACGTGATATTATAGAGCATTTCTACAACACTCTTGATCGCTGGGATGTCTCAGGGAGGCTGAATTTGAAGCTGCACCAGCCAATTTTTCACCAATTGCAGTCGTCTGTCAGCTTCCACAATTGGCTAAAAACTAGCTAGTATCAAGGCAAATCGTGCGTTTCCTGAAACGCGCCACCATCCGCAACGAACAAGACTCAAAGCATTGTTCCTAACTTCATAGTGAATTTGCTCCAGAGCCCTTCTCACAAAGGAATATTTGCCCTTGGTCGGCCCCTTTCCTGAGAGCCAATCCTACTATAGCGGGCATTGACCTATTCAGAATAAGTTCAAAAGGCTGCGTCCCTAGAAGCACCGTTCGTGATACCAAGAGGGCGGGAATGGTGAGAAGCGTACTGGGGTACTCCCTTCGTTCCCGTCTACTTCTCCGCTGTAGAAGGCGGGATGAGGGGATGGGAGAGTTTCCGCGCACTCGGCAATCACGTACTGCGTATAGAGTAAATTTGGTCTCTCTTTACAGCTCGTATCACCCTTTAGAATGTTGAAGCGTAGTTCAGTGCTGCCAGCTTCTGCGCCCTGCTACCGCTTAAAAATCCAACTTTGGACTGACTCACCTAACTGATTGAGAGTAATAAATGGTGGCTTGCTATTCAGCCCTTTTCCTTAGATGGATCTCAAATCCCTTCCTGAAAGTTAAAGCAAATTTGAACTGAGTAGCGCCTGGTTAGTGAACCTGACGGCTCTGATGTTGCTTCTTTTAGTGGCAGTGAACCATTGCTGTGTAGTGCATGACGTTTGTTACACGCATCAACTCGGACAGGAGCAATGCGATGAGCAGTTCTGCGAATGCAATCGAGTGAGTTTGCCTCTTACGTTATTTGACGAGACGCAAGATACGATACGTTACAGCTTCATTTGTTTCATTTGTGGCTAGTTCAAAACTGCGATTAATTTCGGGCAAGACAAGCTCGACCCATTTCGCGAAACTGAGCAGAACTATGCTCTGTCCGTGGTGCGGAAAGGTCGTGTGGTGAAAATGAGAATGAGGTAAGAATGTCATTGGGAGCTGAGAAGTAGTTCCGAACGAACACGACCACGACCGAAAAAATAATCTACATTTTCTATCCTTGTCCAGCTGTCTGAGCTTCTTCCATCTGCTACACACTCACTGGGTAACTGTCAGTAACGTTGAAAGCCAGCCGGCGAAGACGAGTGCGAGGGACGATACTGAGCAGAGTATTGTTCAACTGTTGCAAGCTACATAGGTTTATTCTTTAGCTCCGTGAGCACCCTTTACGTCCTCTTGCTCTTCAGTCTACAACCTAGCCGGGAACTCCTTCCCTGGTAAACAACGCCTAAGCGTCACAGGACACCTTTTTGTCTTATTAGTGAATTTCGGACAACCTAGACAACATAGAATCTGCGACAGGCACTCATATCCCAGCTTCCTGGCAAGGGAACACTAACAGCTTTCCAGAATCTGACGGTGAGGAGGTGGTAACTACGACAGTGACTCCCTCGACAATCTCTGCTTGGTATACAAGGCGATGACGTGCCGCAGACATCGTCGCCTTTTTTCCGCACCACGCATCGAGCGACCTTTACAACCAAAAAAGCTCAACATTCTGCCTGGTGACTAATTCACATCCACCTATTGATCACTGGTCGACCCAAATGGTTACACTACAGAAGAGGTAGCAACACAAAAATATAATTGTCTCCCAAATTTTTAGCCTGGATTTGGAACACGACAACCTGTGCATCATCGCATTTTGCTCGCTTCGCCCTTTAGGTGTCTGCTGCCAGATGCCAGACACCTCTTAAATAGGGGTGGTCGTACCAATTATCCGTCACTCATGTTAGAACTTTGCGACGACGCGTGTCGACGGGCTAGGTCGTGCTGCCATCGTTAAAGTGCTCCGCTAGACGGACACGCAAAGAGACAGTGACTGACGGCGCCAGCGCTAATCGCTAATGCTTCATAAGAGTAGAGTATGGTATGGAGTATGGAGCGGGTTAACCACGCAGTCTGACGTGAGCGGCGAATGCCACTGAAACTTTCTGGGATCCAGAGAAATGAGCTGTTTCCCGATTTCTTCACAAAATACTGGCGTTAATGGGTACGCTGCATTCTCTTCCACCATAAGAGCTCTAGCAATAGCACCGCCTTGAAGACACATGGTACGCTCCCACACATTGAGGGTGTTTGTGACTATCAGCCCCCCCCCCCCGCCAGCCGTCGATGTGGTTTCCCGGCCGAAACTGCACGGGCTTAGAGTACAGGGCCTGGTAAAGTAAGCAAAATAAGGAAGCGAAGATGATGACAAGGACTAGAACTCGAGAGCTTCTGCAACATCATTCAGAGGCCGCGCATTCCCACAGAACATGACAATAAAAACGGCCTAAGCGTTCCACTCGTTAGTTTAATACAAGCAAAACGCAATTTCCTGATGCGAATAACATTTGAGGTGTTGCTCATGCTTCAAAGTCCGAATAGAAGGTGATGAAGATGACAAAGGCTAGAAATGAAGAACAACGAATGTAGATGTAAATAAAACAAAATGAAAAAAATTAAGGAAATGCAAATTAATTGGAAATCGCGTGTACATTTCTTCAATTCGACGCGATTCCACTCGAGAGCCATAGAAATACTTTAAACTAACAATTGGGAGCTTAGGTGGTTTTTATTTTCATGTTTTGTGAGAATCGCGGCCTCCGAGGGATATTGCAGAAGCAGCACAGCTGCTCTCGCGTTCTTGTCCTCGTCATCTCATCGATTCTTATTTTGCAGCACCTCAAGTGTTATCCGCATCAGGAAATTGCGTTTTACTTGTATTCCAGAGCGATTTGGCAAAAATCCAAGAGAGCTGCGCGCACACGCGCCGCGCGGACGGCTGTTAGCATAAAGGGAGTCTGCGCCGCAAGTTGCATTTTGGGCGGAGCATGGACGAATTAGACTTTCCCACGGCCCTGTACTCTAACCCCGTGCAGTTTCGGGCGGGGAAACCACGACACATCGACAGCTGGGGGGGGGGGGCTAATAGTCACATACACCCTCAATGTGTGCGAGCGTACCATGTGTTTTTAAGGCGCGGTGCTTTGGTGTAAGGCAGTCTGAACGCTGCCTTACACCAAAGCAGCAATGGCGCCACTCTAGCACCTTTTGAGTGCGGCTGGAATGCTTTCCCAAGCTATTCTTCGCTAATGATTTCAACGCTACCGTTCAGAAAGTTGCTTTTGCGAGGCGTGATTGCTTGGATCTTTTGGAGGCCAGTTGCTCACTGGTGCAATTCTTCGGCTTTGGTGCTTACCACAACAGCGCTAATTACACGGGTAATACCATACTCGAAGTCTCATCTATTTCTCCCTTTTACGGAGCATTCGTTTTTATAGAGCCTGACGACCTTGTCAAGCATACGCTGCACAGCGACTCATTGAAGTCTCACTTTGATGGCATCTATCGAGAATGCCTGCACGTGAATGGTACGCTACTGGTAACTATAATTTTTTTTCAATTCTGGTCACTTAGTTGGGAGACAAAGTAAGCAAGGTAGGATTTCGAGGCTTGTGGTTAGAAGGAAGAACGGTGCTAACGTAGTTGGGAGGGGCCACGCGGCTCGCGGCGAGTGATGACTCATCGGCTCTTCACTCATCGGCATACTTGAAACGCGAATCTAGCAGCCAAATCAGAATAAAACAAACAAGATTCACCGGGAACTTGCTGAAGAATTCCACAGAAGCTAAAAATTTGATTTTTTGTAGTCAACAATAACAGTCAACGACAAACATGCAACAAAATTTTGTAGTTTAGGCAAGAACCTTGCAGCCTAAAACTGTTTCTTTGCACTTTTCAGTGTTAACTGTTTTAACTTTTGAATATAGCTAGCTCGAAGTTATAGATCAATGTCCAAGCACGGAAATTACTTCTATTTTGCCGAGGAGGGAGCAGAAGAGCAGATGAGTCATCGCTCGCCGCGAGGCCCCTCGCAACTACATTAGCGCCGAAAGAACAATGTCAATTAAACTGCAGTAATGTGTAAAGCATTGGCACTTGTTGTCGCCGTGAAATCTGTAAGGCAGCCTACCGGATCATAGAGCCTGCTTGTCGTGCTAAAGATCTTCCCAAGAATATACTTGCATTAAGCGTCCTGATCTTCTCTTGTGATCGCCAAAAAGCACTGAACTATTGGGTTGGTCTGAAAAGTCCTGCGACAGTGTGGTTTTGAACTATATCTTAGAAATAAGGCCAAAATACATCTTCGAATGAGTTTTGATCTCTGATTAGTGGAGACTGTCTCCTGAGGTTTCTGAAAATGGGTATATCATGGCTCCGTGGAAGTTTTCAAAGCTTAAAAATACCTCAGAGATTGAGGTACTTCTCGACCTTAGTCCCGCGTATTATGAAGTTCTTGTAGGGCAACTCCGCCCTACACGTCGAAGGACAGCTAACTCAATACTGTTTTTGAGGAAGGGATATCGCCATAGCCAGAGAGTTCCATCTGCATAGCAGCGCTTCCAGGGCTGGACTTATTAACTCGGAAGTAGGCAATGTATAGGTCGGCCACCAGCACAGAATGACGGCCCTTTACTCAAGCTTCTTGAGGCGCAGCCGAACGTAACCACCAGTGTGTTGGCAACCTCTCTAGGCTCCATCTAACCGACAACTGCCATGCTTCTCCGCAGTCTCGGTTATCGGAAAAATTTTTTATGAAGGATGCCTCATGAGTTGGTCCCCTCTGACAAGTCATACCGAATGACCGTGACTGAGTTTTTTTCCTTGTACACACTGGAGGAACATTTGTGAGATCTTGTGGTTGGTCAGACGAGAGGGTGGGGGTCCTTGCGTACATCTTGCACATGTTCCTCGCAGGATCTCTCAACAGAAAAGTAGATGCACAGCCAAAAGCAGATGTGCATGGGATAAAGATTTCAGTAGGTTATTGGTGGGACTTCAAAGCGGTATCTCTGAATAGTAGCATAACGGTAAGGACTACAGTCCACTCTAACCAACCTCACAACATGGATGACGTCACGCTTGAATTCTTCAAAAATACTCAATTTTTCTCTACCGCTCGACAATGCGAAGACCGCATGTTAAGATCAGGCCACACCAAAAGATCGTGGATCTCGATCTGAGAATGCGACCATACCCAGCTTATTCATCAAAGTTAGCAGTCTCTAACTACTACCTTTTTTGATCCCTACCGCATCCTTAAGAAGGCGAAAATTCCGAAAATCGACGTCTACTCAAAAATGAGGTC